GTGCTAAACGAAAATAAGGCATTTAGAATTTGTTTTAAAAATAATACATATTTTATTTTGTCATTATGTAGACGACACAGCGCGGACTGTGAAGTCTATTGGAGTTTTGCATTTGTTTTATTTTTATGTACATATATATCGTATATGTGCATACATAAATTATATGTATGTACATATATATTAATACATACATATTAACTTATGTACATAATTAAGTATGTACGATCATGCACTCATATGTAAAATATATTTTTAAATTTAAGTTTACAATATGGAGTGTACAATTGATCCTTAATGCAGTGTTGAATGAAATTAAAGTTTCATTAAATGGATTTAAATACATTTTATTATTAAGTCATGAATTTATCAGCACATGTGTTTTACGTATGTATCTATGTTTTAAAATTTATGAATAAATTTATTTTGTAATGATATTAAATGCAGAAATGTATTTGCTTCGTTGCATTTTACGCGGCATTGGGTAAGTCGACAAAAGTGATACTAAACTGGCCGGCGGCGGGTAAGGTGGATATGGTGGGTAGTGGTAGGTATATACACGTACATTGCTACATTTTCAGATGTTTTAGATAACGTATATAATGCTGTTTAGGAATTTATATTTTCAGGTAAATCGGTTGGTTGCATAAAACATTATTGTACATCAGACCGTACCGGAAAAAAGATCACCGTGCCTAAAGTATTTTTGCAAGATAATTTGAAAAAAAATATTCTGGGGTGTTTTTTTTTACATTTTTCGTTATATCTTCGGCATGTACAGTCGGATCTTGAAATATTATATATCGATTCAATTTTTTTGTTCCAGAGTTCATTGACCTACAGTACTCCGTTCTAATTTTACCCCCCAGATCTCAGTTACTACCAACTCAACGTAATTTCTTTAAAGTTCGCCAAAAATCATTAAACTTTTGCTTGGGAAGTATTTCATTTTTTTTGCTTTACGTAAACGTCGTCTTTTTGAATTTCTTGTCATATCTTCGGCATTTATAGTCTTATTATTAAAGTAAGTATATATTTTTTTTCAAACTTCATTGACCTAAAGTATCTCCATCAGCTCTTACCACCTTATTGAACCTCCCTGATGTCAGTAAACTAAAGCTTACTAAAAATTGTGCTCTGGAATCCAGTAGAACTACTTAAAAAAAAATCATTTTTTATCGCCGAATGTGTGTATGTAGGGTCAGTGTAAAATATACATATAAAGGCGACGGTTAAAACTAAAATAATCGAAATACTTTACGACTCAGGCACGTACGGCGAACTATTTTTTGTTTGCCTGTAATGTGGTACGATCTAATGTACAAATCGCTCGTTTAATAATATACAGAATTAAGGTGGCCTCAAACAGATGCGATAACGATAAAAAGCAAAGGCCCTCAAACTGTCGTAATTTAAATTTTAAAATATTTTTATTAATTTGTCTTATAACTTTATTTCAATATGAGAAAACATCAGTCCAATTTTTCGAATATAGGCTAATCTACATTAGTTAAATAAAGTTGTGATTGTAATAAATTGCATACGTAACTTTGATACGTAAATACATATGTATGTATATATTTGTAACATTGAGTTTACTATGTATTAATATTTATTTTATATTAATATAAAAATAATTGTATTAATATAAAAATAATTTTGTCTTCATCTAAACGTATGTATGTAGTTCATATTTGCAGCTATAAATAATCTTAGCGATACGTATATATATTATTTTAGATACTTTTTAGATTCGTGTTGTAAATTGTTAGTAGTCAATAAAAACATGAAACAGAACTATTCGTAATAATAGTTTTTAGTAAATTAGATTGCAACAAGTTGTAGTTTAAATATAGCATAATTGCAAGGATTTTCTTTATAGAAACATATGTATGTATACATATACGTAAAAGTCTGAATGTAATTTTTTTTTTTGATAAGAATCGCTAAGTATTTCAAATGTATGTTTCAATGTGTTAAATTCACGGTGCGCGCAGTTAGCTGCATTTGGTGCAATTTCTGATTGAGTTTTTGGTTATGATCCTTTAGGTAGGCAATAAGATCAGCCTGTGGGAGATATAAGCAGAGATAGAACTTTCGTAGTGTATAAATTAGCTGATTGTAATTGATCATTTACGCACCTGCTTCTCCAAAAGTTCAGCTGTATTA